CATCATCATCATCATCCAGAGCGTTTTAAGCAAATTTTATGGAATTTTTTTTTATAAATTGGTTCCATTTCGCTTATAAATCTTCCTAGTATTAAAATTAATAATTAAATTGTGATTTAAAGAACAAACTTATTTCTTTAAAAGTTTAATTAAAAACGAAGTCGAAATTAGTATTGATCCACTAGTCAAACAATGTTCAGCAACTAATTTCCTAATTTAAAACAAATAAAAGGAATATCCAATTCTTATTATTTTATAATAATATTATTATTATTTTAAATAGTTAATTATAAATTAATTAAGAATTCAATTGAGTTACAATTTGATAAAAAGTTTCTTCCGCGCCAAGAAAATATCAGTTATCGATTTTTTGTTAGGTTAATGCTTTATTCTGGAAATGCAATAAACAATAGAAGCATTACAAACGTGTAAATATACTAAAATGGGGAATATTGCTTGTGCAAATTAATTTCGTCGTTCAATTTGCTTACAGTAAATCGATCATTCCATCTAAAATTAGAAATTGTCAGCATTTTCTTTGTTCGATTCTTCCGTTACGTTCGTTTTCTAAAAAAAGAACTCGACCGATTCTGTTGTTTTTTCTGCTTTTTTTATGGTTTAAGGGCGATAATCTGAAGAGAATTCCGTATTAAAATAGTGCAGTATATTCTGTTCAGAATACTGCAGTAGAAATAATAATTGTTTTTAAAAGCGATATTTTGCTCACTGCTCAGAATAAACTACAATTTTCAGCTCAGAGTAATGCATTTAAAACTATCAGTTTCGATATTCGTATCCATGATAATGCTTATTCAAATTTTGCTAGTTGCTAAAAACTTCAAGCTCTACTGTTAAGAATTTCTTGGAGGATTTTTTTTAAGATTTTACGACTACGCTATTAATTATAGAGGAATTTTTGTAAGTAACACTCATCAAAAGTATCAACTTTTATGGCAAAGCTTACATCGCAACTGTCAAATTGAGTAGCATTACAGCGCTCGGTGTCACAAACCAGAAGAATTTCATGCCATTTTCTTGAAATATTTCAAACCTAAATAGTGGAATTTTCGAATTATTCCATATGCATATTATCATAAACATCCGTGTTATTGTAATTTATTTATAAAACACAAGCATATCGTATTGCATTTCAAATTAGGTTTTGTAAAACTTAGTCCTTGAAAGATTATAATCGCGTAATAATAAATAAATATAAAATCGGTCTGATAGTCAGAATAATAGAAATTTACGTTTAAAATCACTCGAATGGATTTTAAATATTATTTTAAAAAATGACGATTAAAATAAGAAAAAAGAAAAGTAAGAGAAAGTCATTACACTTCCTTTTAGCCGCAGACCAATGAACTTGCAGCTGTTATGTCAGAAGAGCGGCCTACTTTGCACGTCCTTGAATGACGACAGCACTAAGTCTTCCCCTTCTGGTTCGATTCACCTTTGGAACTCTGCCAATATACGGAGACATACAAACTACACAGCCAATGATTCGTGAGGATTTTTTAGGCCCCGGTCCAATAAAATTGTTGCATCCGGTTCTACTGTCAATCAAATAATCGTCGGAGGATTTGATTTGATTTTTTTTTGTAGAAATGTTTTGCTTTTAGCTTTAGCTCAGTGGCATTTGTGTATGTATGTGTGTGTTTGTGTATAGATAGTTTATTTTGCTGAAATCAATTTAGGTCAATGACGCGACGCGGAAGTTACTGGAATAATATTGTATCGAATGGTTTACGTAACAGTAGGAGATTTTCTAAAACTCTCGCGATTTTTCGGAATTCTTGTGGTAGGTTTCGTAATTTGGCACTCTATTGTTTGCAGTGGGCATGGTTCTTACAATTTGTCGATCGTTTTTCTTGTCTATCACGGATATCCATAGCCGACTGGACCTCCTTGGTTTCTCCGTTGGAGAGCATAATTCGTTTATGCTTTTTTTTCCCTCTTCTTTTTTTTTGGTTCCTCTTACTATTCTGTAATGTAGAATAATAAAATTCGCCTCCTACCAACATCCGCTCTTTGCGATCATCGTGGTGATGATAATGAGTGAAACGATGGCACTAAGATGATTGTTGACGGGTTATGGTCGTAACAAGAAGCGAAGCCATCCGTAGAGGGTATTGGATCCTAAATTCGAAGTAAGTTTTTAGTTTGAATTTCCGAAGTGTAAGGTATACGGGTGTGGGAGATACCTTCTTTCATATTGAGTACTCGATAACCGAATAAGTTGGAGGGTTATTTGGTTTAGATTCGGGTATCTTGATCGATTTCACTAGATGTCATTTGATTTTGCTGGTTTTCTCATCTTAAGTGCAATTGGATATCAGAATTGTCGATGGGCTAATCGTAGAAACGTTAACGAATTGTGTTAGTCCAGCGCTATGCGTTTATGTAACCGACATAGAACATTTTCGAAAAAAGTGCCGATTTGAATATTTTTCCACCCCCATTTTTAATACGTAACACTTCCTGTCGTATTCCGGGAACTCCATTCATGTCGTCAATTGTTTGCCGAGTTAAAATAACTCTTCCATTAAGTGGAGTTATGACGAGGTTGTTGGCCAAGTAATGTTGATGTTAGCGTGTATTTCTGCTATTGCAGTGTTGCCGTGAGCAGTGGTGGCAGCGACCACGGTGGTAGCGATTCATGTCAGTCGACAAGCAGCAACGTGTCCGAACCCTGTTCTCCCGAGACAGAAAGCCCAGATTCTCCGTGTCCAGGCACCCCCCAGCCGATGCCACCCATCCCACCGTCTCTGGCAGATAACTGCCGAGCAGACAGTGACGATAGCATCACTCTCTCGGGGACACTGGTGGCTCTGACGAAGAACGAGTACCCAACAAGTGGACAATATAGTTTGTCTCAGGGACATGACAATGCGACAGACACAGTATGTGATAATAAGAAGAATTTTTTCTATGACTGCATTTACAACGACAAGAGTTTATGTGATGACAATGCACGCTTAGGATCAAAATCGGAGAGTGAAGTGAACGAGGAATATTACACTGCCATTGGTGACAGTTCGGAATGTGAGGTGAAGCCGAATTGTCACGTGGGGGATGGACTGGAGAAAGAAAACACCTCATCATCCTCATCATCATCATCATCATCCTCATCGAATCAGTCGTCAACTGCCAGTCCCGAGATACAGACAAATACCGACGATAGTCACACTGTTACTTGTAAATGGTTCAACTGTGAGCAGAAAATGGTGTGCAGCGGTCAGCTGGTGGAACATATCCGTAAATATCACGTGGAAAGACAGAGTGATAGTGAAACGTTCACCTGTTTATGGGTCGGTTGCAAGGTAAGCCTTTACTTTTCTTTCTCTTTTTTAAAATATTTATTAAGCAATAATTTTAAATAGGTATATAATATATTTATCTTTAAGCTTGCTTTTACTAAACATAAAACATAATGAACATAAAACATATGTTCATTATGTACTATAAATTTATCATCATTTAATTTATGTTATACGCTATTTTACCTATTACATAATATACTATGACACGATTTTTCATAAAATCAATAATAATGACAATGCAAAATGAAGTTCTAAATCAGAAATGTTTATATATATATATATTTTAATTCTTGATGGAACACAAATGAATAAAAACATCAGTTTTACTGTGACATATTGATATTATCGCAATGGTTTCATACCAAAATTTTATGGGGTGGATCAAAAGTTACCAAGTATAATCGTTTTCACGAGTATACGTGGAACACGCTCGTGATGTTTCAAACACAGTACACTTGTAAATAAGAATCGTAAACTGAGCTTAGAACAAAGTAGTGTTTCTTACAGAATTAGTGAAAACACGATTAAAAATGTGATTAAAAAATTTAATTTAAATAGATTTTGCACAGTTTAGTTTTTGCAATCGTTAAGGAACATTCTTTATATCGAACTTACGAACTTATTATGAAAATTTCTTACTGAACGAATTAAATAATTTTCCTTATTAAAAATTATATTTATCGAAAAATTTTTATTTTATTTTGTTTTAAATAAAACGGTAAAATTTATTCTTATTAATATGCTTGATAATGTGTAAATGGATAAAGATGTTGTGTTATTTAATGAAGATATTTAAAGATTTATTCGTTTTTGTTTATTAAAGATATATTTTTCACCTTTACAATTCATAATTTTTAATGAAGTTCATTTTATGTTCCAAAATTTTATTGGAAGGGTATTGATTATCTTACCATATACAAAATAGAAAGCATATTTTAAAAAAGTTTAAAATTTTTCATTTTCGTTAATTCAACCGCACTTTTTTCATATAAGTTTTAAAAAAGGTTTTACTTCTGTTGAAAGTACTGTAATTATTATTTAAAATTTATCAAAATATTCAACCCTACACTGTTGTTTGCACTTCATTTAAAGGAAAATGAGGGTTAGCCTATATTCAGTTGGCTACTTATGAGTGATCTGTAGCGAATAAGATGTTAAAAAATGAGAACAAAGAACAGACTGGAGTTTGCAATCAATCATTTCAGCTATCGTGTCAGTAAATTCGTGAAATTTGTTTAAAGCAAAGCATAACGAGGCACTTATAAGTTTGACAAGTAAACTAAGATTTAGCGCCATCCTGAAATTTTGCGTCGTTTTAATTTATAAATACGTATTAAAATTAGTATTTTAAACGCCTAAATTTAAACTAATATAGCAAACAAAACGTTTTATATTGTTTTCTGATTGTTTTTGCTTCTCATTGCAGTTTTATACAGATATCCCATGAAATTCTTTATTAGTAATCAGTATGCAGGGCGCATATCTTGAAATTTAATTATAAAATTCTATTATTCAATATCATTGTAAATTTCTCTTAATATTTATTATAAATATCTTATTGTAGAGTGATGGAAGAGGTGAGTAAATATATCCATTACTCAATCACAAATACGCAAATGAAACTGCAATCGACTATGGCACATATGTAAAATATATTTGTGTGCATGAATCTTGTTTTGTGTACATCTCTTTTATTAGTAATGATTGGAATAAAATGAAATATTCTCTCTATTATTAAAAAAAATACATAAACATAAAATTATATTCCAATAATATATATATATATATATATAATCTTATTTCTTCCTTTAAAAATTGGAGTCCACCAGAAACCCTGAATAAAACAAATATTTTGGTATTTTTTTAGTAAGAGTGTAAAGTGTCTAGATCTAAATATAGAATGATAATGGGGTCGAATTATTCATTGATTATCGTCCTCTTCATGTGCCGTTTGCAGAGCGTTCGATGAAACATGATGAGAAATTATTCTATTTTAAGAAACATTTAAAATATTAATTCATCATTTCTATTAGTAATAATTATTTCTTTAATTTAATCATATATGCAGAAAGCAAAGAAAGAACGGAAAAACCCTTGTCTAATGGAAGTTACGTGTAATATTTGGAGTCGAGTTTCTTAATTTTTAGATCAATCTATGGATACAATTGTGAAATGTTACGAAATTTATGAACTTTAAAGTTAATTTAAAGTACATTTTACATAAAATTGCTTTAGTCTTTTGTATAATCTTCGCGTGCTGCTAATTTCCTGTAAATAAACGGAAGAAAATAAAAGTTACTGTAAATAATAGGAAAAGTATGCAAATTATCTGAAATGATTAGAACAAAAAAAAAAAGTAAACATAACAGCTCAATAAGCACTTCGTGTGTCAGATGACATTCAATCACTGGCAAACCAAATGCTTTGTATATTTATATAATGTTGTTTTGAATTCTTCAGTTTGTTAGTTATTCATTTTTTCCATATTGTAGACAGTTACACAAATTAAAAGATTTGTTACAGCAAAAGTTGTTGGAAATACAGTATATATGGAATATTAATAATGGCTTAGATCTTTAATTTTGAATACTGAAGATAAAACTAATGTAACTAATATTTAATTACTAGTTTTATAAAATAGTGGACAAATTACAGTAACCTTCTTATTGTTTCCTGAAAAATACATTTTATTAAGTTCACAAAATCAAATTTTATTAAGTTCACAAAGTTTTGGAAGAAGGAAGAGGTTATCACTTCAATAATACTGTAATATTGAGAAGATATTCTGTAATACTAAATTTAATTAATTAATTACAGTCGACCCCCGTATAAGATCATTGATTATTCCGTTTTATATGAATTCCATGTTGTACAAGTCACTTAAATTTTACAAATACGTGAGCCGTTCACAGCCCGGTACACGTATTTGTAAAATCTAAGTGACTCGTACAACATGGAATTCATATAAAACGGAATAATCAATGATCTTATACGGGGGTCGACTGNGTTAGTTCATGTAATATTTATGTATTGTGTTTGCACATCATTGAACAGTGGAGACTTGCTGAAAGTAAATATCACTCATCGCACTTTAGTTTATTTTTTATTTCATCTTTAGAAGTAAAACAGTATTTTTTCGTAATCATTAAAACTCCCAATGAAACGCTTTATTTTACTTTCATCTTATAATGTAGGAGAACATAAATTAATTGAGCCTAACTTGTCCATATGGGTGAGATTGGCCCTACACTTTTAGTTACTTACTAGAAAATAAATTAAATTATTTAAATTTATGACATTCCTGTATGATTTTTTTTATTCATATAAAATTCTATTTTACTATCTCATCCCGGGAAAAGAAATTATTTTGCCTGTAATCCTGCTGGAGGCAAATTTTTTGGGAAATGAGAAACTCTAGTGTGGTCACTCTTAGCTTCATTTCTCCCCATAGACCTTACTGGCATGGGTGTCTCTACCAGGAGCTTGTGCTCCAGCCTCCATTGCCCTATGGAGCAGTAAAATTACTACACTCTCCCACCATGACCAGGTGATGACCATGGGAGAGTTATTATTATAATAACATTCTTCTAGATATGTCTTAAAGATTATAATTTTATAATTTTTTTAAACAGGTTATCCGATGAATCAAGTGAAGAATCAGATCCAGAAACAGGAGGAATAACTTTATCACCTGAATTGAAAAAATTAGTGCAGTCTGATCTGTTTTTAGCAGGAAGTCCTTTGAAAGAACTGTATGTAAATTTTTTTTGCCTACATAGCTGAGATAATTCATATTGTAAAAGATTTAAAACAATAGTAGTCGTTAATATTAAGAGATTATTCAGTATTTATTAATAAATTAATTTATGTAAATGGCTTTCTAATATACATAAAAATGAAAATCAACATTATTACACTATCAACACATACCTATGTTACTGCCATTCAAAATTATTACTTTTTGAGTTAACATTGATCAAACAACTACTCACCACATCACACAAACTTAAAAATTACACACACTGAACCAATTTACAGTGTGGTAACATCGAAAAACATTGAAAAAAATGAACATTTTCGAACCCCTTCTGGGCTCTGCATCAGGTTTTAACGGTTTTTAGACAGAAATTTGATTAACAAATGCTGTTTAACTAAGAATTCAATCCTGAAATTTATAAAAAATTTATGTTGCACATGCGCAACAGTCGGCCTGCCCAAATACGAACGGCTAGAATGTGCTGTCAATCAACTTTTGCCAGGCCATTGACAAAAACATCTCTTTAAAATTTATGCACATGGTTGTGATGGGTGCAGCACAAATTTACACAGAATTTTGGTTTATATGATGTACATCTAACATGAAATGAAATTTCTTGTGTAAAACAAGATTATACTGTGTTTTATTTTTAATAAGCCATATCATTTTTTTGTTATTAACTCTGGTGAAATTTTACTTGTATTTCCAAATTTATATCAACACACATTAATTACGTTAACTATATTTTGTTTTTTAAATGTTTTAATAATTTATTTAGCTTTGTACTTCATGCATTTCCTACCCTTATTTCTGCCTTTCTTTTTCTTTTTTCTATATTTCTTTTTAAACACCATAATGAATGCTCTCTCTTCAGGTGTGAAGATTTCTTCTTATGATTTTGTTATAAGAACTTATTTATGATGCATTTTAATATGTACCGTTATATACATTATTTTAGTGTGTTTTGGTTCATTTTTTAATTTTTATATTTATTATTATTATATAATTTGTAGTTTTTGTATTGTATATATTATTTTCATTTGTTTTAAAGGAATTATTTATTAATTAGGGGACAATCTTACCATGTTTTTGTAAGACATTTATTTTTTATATAATATAAATAAACAAGTAAAATGGCAATACATGTGCAAATCTCACAGTCATGTCTGTTTGTAGAAACAGTCTCAACATTTCATATTTTCTTTTGACCTGGTTCTTGATCCCCTGACTACCTACAAGTCTG